GTTTAGGGTTTAGGGTTTGGCTGGCAATCAACGTCTCAATATGCTATTGCGATGTTTACGATGCCGGCGGCGTTGTTCGCAAAGTTCGTGGTAAGAAACACTACAACAACATGCTTTTGATCGTAGGAACTTATCTTTCCGCCGGAATTGACGACAGGACCAAGCGAATCATCACAACGGGGAAAGACTGGATTGTCATCACTAGAACGCTTGGGGGAGCTTTGCATTAGCAGTCAGTATTTCATGGCAGGCATGGCATAGCCGGCAACAGGCAGCAATAGACAAGATGAGAAGAACGTACATGCCAAAGGAGAAAATCACTTACTACTGTTCAGGCACCGTCAAATAGCTCAAGCAATCGTATTGACATCGAAGTATTTATAGCAGTATCGCAGCTTGTAGCATGTCTTATCAATTTGATCTTTCTTGCTCAACCGGAAATGCCGGTGCTCTTGCTAGCCCTATTCTCAGAACAATGTCGATGACCCGTTTGCATTGAGATTTTCTACCGGACTTACTGTCTTGGTCGCTGCTCCTACCCCGCAGCCTAATCTTTTCACACGCTGCTGAAGCACCTAATCGCTGAAACCCTAAACCCTAAACCGCCCCAAGGGTCAACCATGCCAGGAATTTCTGTGAGATGCTGGAACCCTAAACCCTAAACCGGTGCAAGGGTCAAAATCCCAGGACTCCCTGTGACATGCTGGATCTCCACGAGATGTCCTCCGGGTCAGCACGGGCCGCCATTCTCTGGTGGCCAATCGACTGGGGTTTAGGGTTTAGGGCTTCGGGCAGGTCGGAATCCGTTTCCGGGGTCTGCAGGCTGTCTAGACTAGTGAGTCCGGTGTTCAGAGCTCATTCCTACAAAGATTTCATTGTTATTTAGTAGTGTGTTGTTTTGCCCGTTGTTTTTGTTCGTATTAGTATTATCACTGTTATGCAGTCGAGTTTGGGTTTCACCTTCCAGTGTTGCCTGGCGCGGACAAGGGTTTTGAAGAGCTTAGTCGTCAAGCGCTGAAGGGCTTTGGGTTTAGGGGCTCAGGGTCTAAATTAGGGTCCCTTTTAGGTCCCCACATAGTACGGCACCCTTATAAAAAGGACCCTCAAAAGGGACCCTAATTTAGAGAACCGCCCATTTAGGAGGAGGAGATCCCGGGTCGGTTCGCAGGCTGGAAGCAGGCCAGGAAGAGGACGTGTCTCATGCCTAAGACTCTTGACTCTGATCCCCAAGCCCCAAGCCCAAGACCACAAAGTAGGGGCCTTAATAATGAGAATTTGGTTTTGGGGGTATATGGTACTATAAATCATTATAAAGAACGCCCAAAATAGTATAGGTAATTATTTAGGCCCCTATATTAAGCTGCTTGGTGGCAAGACTTCCTTGCGTAATGCCGCAGTTGGACCCACCGTTACTCCAGCAGTCGTCGTCGCCGCAATAGAAATACAGAACAAGCATAACAGCAACAGAGGTCAGCTTGAAAGCACAGACCGCAGCTTAGTTTACACGTGCAGCAAGTTCACCAGTCCTCCCCATGGTGGGCCTGCAACCTAAGCCTCATACGCCTCATATCTTTAGCATTTCTTTGATTACTGGCATGCAGTTTGCTGTGAAAACGTTTGGGTTTGGGGCGATTTAGGGTTTAGGATCCCTAAACCCTAAACCCTAAACCATAAAGCCTAAACCCTAGCTCGAATCCTTTCTGTACGACCGCTATCCCAAAGTTATAAGGCTCCGGGACGTCCTTCCGCCGCAGCTGGGGGATGCCGACAGCCTCGCGTGCACCATCATCACGGGTTGGGGTGCCCCGGCTTAGGGTTTAGGGTTTAGGATCTATATAGGGTTTACGGTCTAGGGTTTAGGGTTTAGGGCTTATAATTTAGTGCTAATCTGAAAGTTTAACCTTTTGTTTCTCTGGCTTCTTGGGGAAGTAAGCT